TTCCCTTCGCCTCTCTATTAATGTGCTTGGACACTGAGCTCTGTGAACAGCCAGCCTCTTTAGCGATGACCTTTTGTGTCTTGCCCTCCTTGTGCAAGGTGTCGATGGTCGTCTTTTGGACAACTGTCAAGTCAGCAGTCTTCCCCATGATTGTGTAGCCTATAGAACTAGACTGAAAGACCATTTAAAGGCTTTTGCAGGTGGTTTGAGTTAATTAGCTGATTAGAGTGTGGCACCAGGGGCCATCAATTTTGAACCTTTTCACAATATTCTAATTTTCTGATATGATGAATTTGAGATTTTCATTTGTTGTCATTTGTAATCATCAAAATTAAACAAAATAAACATCTGAAATATATGAGTTTGTATGTAATGTATGAATATAATATACAAGTTTCACTTTTTATATGGAATTACTGAAATCAATCTACTTTTTCATGATATTCTAATTTTATGACCAGCACCTGTATATATTACTGGATTACCCCGAGGATGGTATGGGGTGGTCCGGATCTTGCTGATTTCTGCCATTGCACAGAGTTCTTTGATAATACGGCTCTCAAACTCAGGTCCTTGGTTACTATGGAGCTTCTCAGGGATGCCGTAATGTACCAGGAAGTTGTTCCATAAGCACTTTGCTACGGTCTTCACTTTTTGGTTTGGCGTGGGAACTGCGACTGCATACTTTGTGAAGTGGTCAGTTATCACGAGTATGTCTTTGGTCTTGCTCCGATCAGGTTCCAGTGACAAGAAATCCATGCATACCAGTTCCAAAGGTCTTGACGTCTTGATGTTAACCAGCGGAGCTGCTTTGTCTGCCAGTGTTTTCCGTCGGACACATCTTTCACAGTTCTTTATTTTGTTGTGGACGTCTGCAGACATACGAGGCCAGTTAAACCGGGTTCTTGCAAGGTCAAGCATTCTCTCAATGCCTAAGTGTCCCATCTGATCATGCAGCTGGTATAAGGCTTCAGAGCGACATTCTTCAGGTAGCACAAGCTGGTATGTGGTTTCACTCCTAATCTGCCTTCTCCGTACAAGAACATTGTTGTGGAACTCCAATTTTGTTAGTTCTCGCAGGAGTAAAGGTAAGTCTGTAAGTTCGTCCCTCAAAGAAGTAGGTGGACTTTCTCCTCTTTCCAACTGTGCAACAACATGCTGTATGACGGGATCTGTGTGCTGTTTGGCTGCAATTTCATCAGGAGAGAATGCAGGTATGACGGGTAAAGCAAACTGTATGTCATCAACAAAACTGTCTGGCAGACTTCCTGGATCAGTGGTGAGTGTCTGGACCAGAGCAAGAACTTGGTCTTCAGCAGTGGAACCATACACAAGCTGTCGGTCACAAATGGCATGGACTGTGTGCTGGTCTATGGGGACAGGTAAGGAATCTTGTAGGTGATGTTGGGTGAACCTTAAAATTCTCTCACGCTCTTTTTGTGACAGGTGGTCATCTTGCAACACCTCATGCGGTCGACGAGAGACACCATCTGTGTCAGCATTTTGCTTTCCTGCTCTGTAAATAATCTTGAACGAGTAGGTGGAAAGGGCAGAGAGCCACCTGTAGCTCGTCGCATCCAGCTTTGCAGAGGTAAGGAGGTAGGTCAAAGGGTTACTGTCTGTAACCACTGTAAAAGGTGTGCCGTACAAATAATCATTAAACTTTTCGGTCACCGCCCACTTCAATGCTGGGAATTCCAGCTTGTGTGCAGAGTATCTGGCTTCACTCCGAGACAGGCACCTGCTGGCATAAGCAACCATTCTGTTCTTGCCGTCATGTTCTTGGTATAAAACAGCACCGAGTCCTGTGCAACAGGCATCTGTTTGCAGGGTGTACGGCTTGCTAGGATCGGCAAAGGCGAGAACAAGAGCTGAAGTGAGCTTTTGAATGATGGTCTCAAAGGCAGTGGACCAGCGGCCACCGAAAGGCTCTTTTGGGTTCAGGTAGGTATGGGATTTTATCAACGGTTTTCGTTTTTTCTGGTTTGGTGGATATCCTGAGGTCAGCTCATTCACTGGTTTGACGATGGATGAGTAGTCTTTCACAAAGCGTCGGTAATAACCGGCAAATCCGAGGAATGAGCGAAGTTCCTTGAGATTCTGTGGGACTGGCCAAGATGTTAGGGTGGCGATTTTCTCTGGGTCTGTCTCAACTCTATTCCTCAACACCACATGTCCGAGATACCGCACATATGGCTGGAAAAAGACAAATTTCTCCACAGACAACTTCAGGCCAAACTCCTTTAACCGCAGCAAAACCCTCATCAGCTGCTCTTCGTGCTCTTCCAGCATCGGAGCGAACACGATTAAATCATCGATGAAGATGAGTGCTTCTTTCAAGTTCAAATCGCTCATGCACTTCTCCATCAACCGCTGAAAAGTGGAGGGCACATTTGTAACTCCTTGCGGCATGCGGTTAAACTCCCAGAAGCCTAGAGGACAGACAAAGGCAGTTTTGCATTTATCAGATTCCTCCATCTCGATTTGATAGTAGCCGGACTTCGAATCTAGGACGGAAAACCATTTTGATCCAGACAGGGCCGTAAAGGTGTCTTCTAGCTTCGGCAGAGGATATGCATCTTTGATGGTTTGAGTCGAGGTGCTAACGTCTCTGTTAAACACTTTAAAAAACTCTGAAAATGGAATACGAAAGGTGGATTCTTGATTCTCGACGTCGGAGTACACAGAGTGAAGCGAAAAGACTACAACTGTGTAAACAGGCCCCATTTCCGTTTCCGGTGGCAGGGGAATATTGACTATTCCAACAGAACTCAATGGGATTTACAAAATACTAAATAAAACACTACAGGAACGTTTTTTCTTTACGAAACTTTTTTTGGAACGTCATTGAACAGCGCTGACGACCCGGTGAGTAGCATATTTTAAAAAAAGAACGTTTAAGGTTGTTTTAAGGACATTATCGGACATGCACTATGAAAGCCATTCTGAAGCAGCCAGGGGGTGATTCTGCATGAGCCAAAAAGCAGAGACAGGACCAATTGTCAAAATTTTGGTGTCGATCATTCGATTTCATCCTGGACACTACAGAAAATGGGCTAAAAGTGTTAAAAACCGGAATTCTCCTTTAACATAGGGGGAAAAAGTCAGAATTCTGATTTTTCTCACAATTCTGACTTTTTTCTTCTGACTTTTTTCTCAGAATTCTGACTTTAATCTCAGAATTCTGACTTTTTTCTCAGAAATCTGACAGATGATTAATATTTCTAATCAATTTACAGTGTTTTTATTTTTTTTTTTGGGGGGGGGGGGGGGTACTATACAGATATATACAAACAAGAAGATCTAACTAAAAAATAACCAGAATGTGCAAGAAAATGTAAAATATACGTATAAAGAAATATAACAGGAAGTACTGCTAAAACATAAACTAAATGTTAAATAATGTAGATATTGGTTTAAAAAATTCTCCAGATTTGGAAATTTGGAAGGAATACATAATTTTGAAATTACTCAACAAATCTGGTTAAAAAAAAAAATAAAAATAAAAAAAAAATAAAAGTTGCACTTTTTTACTTGAGGAATTTGTTGAATAACTTCATAATTATGAGTTTAACTAGTTGGAGGTAATGCTACACTTCTCTGCTTCCTGTCCTGCTCATAAAAGGTAAACATTATAAACCCACCATCCATTTTCTACACTATTTGGAAAACACAACACAAATGTAATATAACAAAAGTATGTTTAACAACAAACATGTTAGCATCAAGCCATAGCCATGTCTGTTTTAGAGACTAGCTCTCTTGTTTTAATGACCTTCTGATCCTCCATTAATGAGGGGACCCCTGGGGAACGTAAAAAGTTGCCTAATTCTGTCATTTTGCACCAATGTGTCACTGGCCACCTCAAACAACTCACTTCTTTGTCAGTGAAGCTGAGTGCTCCACATCTCTTCCTTCATGGTGCCCATCTTCATTAAGATCCAAAATTCTGAGATTAAAGTCTTATTCTGAGAAAAAAGTCAGAATTCTGACTTTTTTTCTCAGAATTCTGACTTTTTTCTCAGAATAAGACTATTTTTCTCAGAATTCTGACTTTAATCTGACCTTTTTCCCGTATTAAACTGAGATGAAATTTAAAAATCACTTAACTTTTTTTTTTTTTCAGTGGCCCTAATCCTCTTCCGTAGTCTTGGGATGATCACTCATCCAATATTTAACTGCAAACTTTCTCTAGACGTTTGCCACGCTAGCCAAATTTTTTTTTTTTTATAGATCTCATTTCAGTACAATGCCACCACCAACTAAAAGGCTGAAACAGCAGTAGGACTTACTCAGATTTTTTAAAAAGAGAAACGTCAGTGTGACCCCAATAGTAAACATATTCCTACGCCTTTGAGTGTATCAGGAATATGAACTCAGTTTTCAAATGGCATTACTTTTAAAGCGCATAAATTAACTATTAAAATGTGTTTGTCATGGTTGTTTATTTTTGTTATTCTTTCTTTTCGAACAGACCATGCTACTACGTGTTTTGTTTGGTGGGGAGCAGAAGTACGTGAAACTTTCTGACCTAACATTTGATGCATTCGTGAGAGAAGGTTAGTATGTTGGTAAAATAATCTCACTACTTTTTTTCTTGCATGTAAAAAAAAAAGAGTACTGGATTGAACTCACTGGCATTTTGTAAAATTAGTTGGGTTACTCTAATTATTTCACCCTTTATCAGCAGTAAATGTTTTCATTTTTACTTCTTTACTATTTCTTTCTGCTTTAGTGTGCCTGAAATTTTAAATTCCAGAAGGCAGACAGCAGGATCTGAAGGTGTATGACCAGTCTGATATAGAAGTTGATGTAGATGTTTTTGAAGAAATAGTGCATCAGTCACCTGGTACCTTTCGAGTTATGTTGAGCAACAAAGAAGATCCTGGTAATCACCAACAATTCACTGATGTATATATATTTAATTTAGAAGCTGGTTTGGGAGCATTAGAGTTCTCCTAAACCGGCTGTTGCTTTATTTTTTGCAGGTGCAAATCATCATCATCATCGTCATCTTCAGTGACATATGATGACACTATCATTCTGAATTTCACAACTTGTGACCCATCAGAAGAAGAAGCCACTACTGAAGGAAGTCAACCTAAAAGGCCATGTCACATAAATTATGAGGCACAAGCAGTAAGTTATTACATTTAATTTAGCATTGTTTATGTACTTTCTAGGTTTAGTGGTTTAAGAGTTTTAATTTATTTTATTTTTTTTAAATTGAAGTTGATTGAAAAAATCTTGACAACAAAGCCTGGTGGTGAGCGTATCATGCAAGAGTATGCAAGAACTAAAAGCTTGACAGATGCAACCAGAAGACAGATGATAAACATCCTTACAGCTGCAATGACAGAAGCACATGGGTAAGAATCAACTTGGGCAACTTGGCCTATAAAGAAACATTTTGCTTTGAATTGTTTTTCATTATTTTTACAAACGTCAGTTTAGTGACTCATTGTTTGATCATATATCAGATCATCCCCTCCTAAAAGTGTCAGAGTGATGTATGCTCAGGGGATCGTTGTCCTATTTCCCTATCTGGAAGACCCATCTTTCAAAACATGGATATGTAAGTAAAAGGGTCTTAGCAACATTAAGCATATATATTTACCTTCCAAGATGTTTATGGAATGTTAAGTCTGCTTGTATTTATTGACATAGGAGCATTACTATGATCCAGAGAGCGGTTCAGGATACCATGCATGGCGTTTAAAGACCATTCAAAGAAAAACTGCAGAGGAACGGGATGCCTCAGGTAGCAAATCTCCCAAAAGTAAGTTTTCTCAATAGTGAGTATATGTAAAGTAATGTAAAATCTGTGGCTGGAGTTAGAAACCGTTTTCTTTTTAAGGTGGTGGACCAGGCCATGTTCACTCCAGGGTTTCCACTGCTGACAAAGTGCTGTCAGATGAGGAAGTGGAAGCAGCTATTGCTGTTTTGAAACACTCTGCTGATGATGACACGGTCCGTGAGAAGATGAAGGCCACCTTCCATTACCGTCATTCAATGGTCAATGATGAAAAGAAAGCAGAGAATGTCTTCTCTGTCTTTCCACGGTTTCCGGTCACACCAGGACTGGTAAGACAGCTTTATCTCTTACACTACTACAATATTCAGTGGCAACAGTTATAGGAGTTTGTTCTGTAACCTGTGTATTACCAGTTTGAACCACAACTCTTTCTAAACTGTTATCTCCTTGGGCAAGACACTTCACCTGGCTTGCCTGCTGGTGGTGTTCAGAAAACCCGGTGGCACATGGCAGCATTGCTTATGTCAGTGTTCCCTTGTGCAACTGTGGCTACATTGTAGCTCGCCAGCATCAGCATGTGAATGACTAAATGTGGTGTAAATCACTTTGGGGTCCTCTGGACTTCATAAAGCTCTATACAAGTACAGGCCATTTGGGAAATGCTTTTACTTATGCATTTCAGATAGAACAAGATTTCAGACTCCTGTTTGGTGAAGGCACTGCCAACAAATTTTTGGAGAAGTGGCCCACCTGTCTCAAATCCAAGGTCATAAAGGAAAGCCATGGCCTGATACCCACCACTGAGCTCGTGGATTTATTGCGGAATGCAGAGTTGGCTGCTGAAGCTGAGAATGGTATGTTGGTCCTCTAGGTAATTGTGACAAATTCATATGTTAGTGGGATGATGGTAACCTAAAGCTTTTGCTCTGCAGGTTGGGATAGTGATATGTCTGGTATTTTGCTTCTGCTGCATCTGCTACCACCATCTGCACAAGGACGAAAGAGGCCGGGTAAGATGTCTGCATCTCAAGCAGTGGATCACCTCATCAGATTTGTAAAGGTACTGCTAAACAGTTTTAAGATAAAAATGCATAATTCAGTCTCTTCATTTTTACAGTTCAAAATTTGATTATGTCTGATCTTCATTCAGAAATTTTTCTCTAAATACTTTTGTCATGTTTTTATTTATGTTTCATTGTAGGTTGGAACCAGTGTGCAGCAGCATCTTGACAAAATCAGCCAGCGTACCCAGCCCTACCTCCTGGCCCATGGCTCCATCCAAAGCAGTATTCATGCATTCTTCATTGTGATTGACAACTATGCTATTCCATGTAAGGCAACGTGTTCAGTTGGAGCTCTTGATGAGCTCTTTAAGGCCCATTATGTGTTTGGTACATCATACAGTGCTCCCTTGACCAACTTCTTCACCTTTCTCCAAACAACTGTTTACAACATAGATGTTGGCGAAACAAAGGAAACACCCAGAGTTGCAGAGTTGAGAGCAAGAATGCTCCATTAGTGTGACATCAAACAATGAGGTGTTTTATCTGCAAATGTGACAGTGATGCACCAAAAAGCCTTGTTAAGCACCTTAAACTAATCCATGGTCTTTGTTCTGGCAGGACTCTCCATATTAAATGTGGTCAAGTAGGATGCTCACGTTCTTTTGGTAGCTTTTCTGGTTTTAGAAAGCATCTAAATAGATGTCATGTTAGTGGTTCATTTGAATCTGTTCAAGATGGGGAGTTTTCACTTTACAAAGCTGTTCTGGACACAAGAGATGCCAGAGATGTTGAAATGGTGACTGAATCTTTAGAGGCTGACACAGATTTATCTTCAACAAACATTGTAAATAGTTGTGCATCAGTAATTTCAGATATGGAGGCTGCAGGTGTTGGCCAAAGTTTGGTGAATTCTGTGGTGATTTCCATGGAAGAGATTGTAAAAGACATCCAACATCACGCTAAAGAAACTGTAATTAAGAATGTATTTAGTAGTGAAAGAGATACTGTGATGTGCAAGAAAGTTGAAGCATGTTTTGAAGAACTTGAGAATCCTTTCACAATTCTTAACTCGGAATACAAAAGATCTAAATTTTTTCAAGCAAGTGGGAAACTGTAAAACCAATTGAATGTGTAATTGGATCAAGATTTGACACTAGACGAAATAAGAAGATGGGAACATATGATCAGGCTGTAGTTCAAGACAAGTTCATGTATGTTCCAATTCTATCTACTTTGGAGTCTATCTTTAAAAGTCAATATTCTACTGAAATGTTGAAAAGCTCAACTTTTGATGACTCAACCCTTAAAGATATTTATGATGGATCTTTTTTTAAGGGTCATCCTTTGTTTTCAACTGAAAAGCACTCAATGCAAATCCAGATGTTTTATGATGATTTTGAGGTAGCAAACCCTCTTGGTTCCAAACGAGGTATTTACAAATTGGGTGCAATATATTTTACATTACGTAACTTCTCTCCAAAATGGAATTCTCTTTTGGCTAACATACACCTTTGTGCCTTGTTTCATGCACAAGATGTTAAACGGTATGGCTTCAGTGAAATTCTTGCACCTATTGTTCGAGACATTAGAGTTTTGGAAACTGATGGAATTTTTATTCCACTGTATGGTAGCCAGGTTCATGGGAGTATTGTGCAGGTTACTGGGGATAATTTAGGCCTACATAGCTTCTTTGGTCTGGTTGAGTCTTTCAGTGCAAGGTATTGTTGCAGGTTCTGTTTGGCTGAAAAAGATGACTTTCAAACAGAATTCTGCGAAGATTCTTCCAAAATAGTGCTGCGCACCAAAGAAGAACACACTGCTCACTGCCAAGAAATGGCTTACAATCCCTCTCTTCCTTATGTTTTTGGTGTGAAACGTTCATGTATTTTAAATTCACTTGAGTTTTTTCACACAACTGAAAACTTCTCAGTTGATGTGATGCACAACATTTTCGAAGGTATTGGCCAGTACGAGTTGAAAATTTTGTTTGAGTATTTTAAAGAACATATTACATTGGAAGAACTGAATTTGAGAATACAAACTTTTGACTATGGATTCATGGAGAGGAACAACAGGCCAGTGGCTGTCAATTTATGTGGGGAATCGAATGATCTGGGACTAAATGCAGTCCAATTATGGTGCTCGCTGAAGAATGTTCCTCTCATGTTTGGAGATCTGGTAACATCTGACAATCCACACTGGCACCTCCTCCTTTTACTACTACAAATTGTAAATATTGTTCTTTCTCCAATGTTAACCCAAGGTCTGTGTGTATATTTAAAACATTTGATTGTGGATCATCACAAACTGTTTAAAAAGTTGTATCCACAGAAAAAACTTTTACCAAAGCACCATTTTCTCATCCATTATCCTAGGTGCATTCAGAAAATTGGCCCTGTACTTCATAGCTGGTGCATGCGCTATGAAGGTAAACATAATTTTTTTCAGAAACAGTTAAAGTCATTTAAAAACATTACCAAAACACTCGCTAAAAAACATCAAAAATATATGGCACATGTTTGGCAAGCTTCTTCAACTTTTAATCGATTGGACATTGGACCAGGGAAAATGGTATCTTTAAACATGGTAAAAGGAGGTTCTGACATTTCTGAGGCAGTGCAAGTGTCTCATGAGGCTCAAGTTATGAAAGTGAGCTGGGCAAAAAACAGTGGGTTTATTTACCGTCCTCATCTGGTTATTTGTGGCAAAGTTGAATCTGAGATGCCTGTCTTTTACCAGATCAAGTCTGTGTTCATAGTTAAAGACAAATTATTGCTGCTTACATTGCCTTTATGTACAGTAACTTTTCATGAACATTTTCATGCTTATGAAGTTACTAAAATGGTGCAAGGTTTTGTTGTGTTTGATGTCAACCATCTATGTTATCCAAAGCCCTTTGACATACAAATGTCATATGAAGCAAATGACACTGCTCTCTTTGTTTGCCCATATTGCTATCTTTGGTGAACATTTTTTTGAAGATGATTAAAATGACACTGTTAAAATGATTAAGTTGAATAAATGTTGTCACTGTCAATGTATAACTTTGTGATTATTGTGATTGGTAGATTTTATAAAAGCCATATAATGCTCAAATTTAGCATTATATGGTTTATGTGTAAAAAAAAAAAAAAACTGGAGAAAGGAAAAAAAAAACACCACAATAAAGTGTACATATTTAAGTAAATTTAGTGTAAAATTTACTCCATAAAAATAACAGTATTACTCTGAAGAGTGTAAAACAACAATAGTGTTAAATAATTTCACTCACTGACTTGTTGATTTTGACACTAAAATGAGTAAAATTAACTCTGAAAATTTGAAACTGGCTATAGAGTACATTTTACTCTATTTTTGAGTGGGACCAAATGTTATCTGAAACGGAGTTAAATTCAACTCTGTAGGTGTTAAATTGACACTTTGTTTTTTACTGTGAACCTTTCCAGTAGTGTCCACTCTGGAGGGGAATGTCATTGAGGTGGTACATGAATATAAATACCTTGGAATTGTAATTGATGACTCCCTCACCTTCAAACCTTTCATTGATACATTTTTGAAGAAATTAAAAGTTAAAGTGGGTTTCCTCTTTCGTAATAAGACGTTTTTCTTTTGGAGTAAAAAAGCGCCTTGTCTCTGCCACCTTTTTATCGGCCTTAGATTATGGTGACCTTTTTTATAAGAATGCTACTTTTTCATGTCTTCAAATGTTGGACTCTGTTTACCATGCTTCATTAAGGTT